CATACATACATACATACATACATACATACATACATACATACATAACATACATACATACATATACACACATATATATATATATATATGCGTATATAACTGAATGCGAAGTAACCACGTGCTTTGAAACATATTCTTGAAATAAGCACATAAGCAGTTACATACCTTCTGCTGACCGGGTCTGAAGCCATCATAACCTGCCGCGTGTAAGATGTTTTCCAATTTCGTTGGCGGTTTCCCCGTCATTGTTACTGCACTCTACGAATGAAGAAAAAAAACTGGCCTACAACTGATTGATACAGGATTGTAAAAATTCGTTCAGTATGTATGCGCTGGTTTATTTGCCACAACAATGTATCTGAATGTGTGAGTGATACAGGTATATGAGCTGAACTTTTACTCTAAATATACACGTATATGTATGGACACAGATATATGTCTCTGGCAAGTATATTTGCATTGCTGAATAAATATGTTCTTCACAACGCACATTTTTTTTATTCTTATTTCGCTCTCCATGTACTTAAATAAAACGCATAGCCTCTCGTTGTCTATAACCTGTATAATGTGTAGCTGATTTTTATATTTTGATGACGAGATAATTACACGAGAAGAATTTAGGCGCCAAAAGTTTGACGGGCTTGTACAACTTTTTGTGAAATCACCAGTTTTTTACGACCATGACATTTTGACCCTTTTTGGCCTTTGGCTTTGGGACTTTGGGTGTGGCTATTTTCAACTTATGACATATTTGTACATATGTATTTGGCCCGTTAGATATTAACGTAAAACGTACTACGTTTTCAACATATATGAAGCACGTACTGAAGTCTGGATATATTTACCTTGTGGTTTTTTGTCATGTATCGGTTTTTATGTCCTTACTTTTGTCGTAAATATATGTAGCTAAAAAAAACAGACCAATTTTATTTGTTTTGTTTTTTATAAATTCAAATTGACCTAGAATCTAGAGTACATACAGAACAAATTACAGTTGATTTTTTGATTATTTATGCCAGGAGTCATAGCCTTTGTTCTATTTTCAGAAGGCTATATGCAGGAGTGAGAAAGCGAGCGACTTTTAATTTTATGTTTTTCGGAAGGCGTAGTATAAATTCCTCTAAACCCTAAACCCTTCATCAAAACACACCTATCCTCATGACCAAGTCATAACTGTAAACCATAGCCTAAATTGTCATGAAAACTTAAGATCCGCTTGTGCTTTTAGCAACTCGGTACAGTTTACTGCATCAATTTCCAGCAGAAGTTGACGATCCTTCTATAAATACTCAAGTATTGCCTATCACGCATTAGAATATTTACCTCCACCAACCCCGTCGCTAAAAATGCACATCAATTATTACTAAGGCGTCCAACGATCCATACGTGAACTATAAGCAAT